TGTTTATTCGGTTACGTTCCTCTCCTTTTACCACATCGTCTTTTTCGCTGATTCTCTTTCACCGCTGTTCTGATATCATATTCGGTTATCGACAGCCTCCTTAATTTAGTATGTGTGACAGTCCCTTTGCCCTTTCACAAATTGGTACTAAATTGGGTACCCGTACAGAGAAGGGTCTAACTAATCTCGATAATTCGTCACGTTTCGACATAGTTCTGGTTGGATTTTGTGCTCAGTTGCGAGACATTCGAAATTTTTGGCCTTTTTTTTGGCGTTGACGATTTTTACGCCTCTAAAGCTGAGAGCCGAAGAGCGGTCTTTCCTTCCTTCTTCAGCTGTCACTTTCGTTTTTCATTTGTTAAGAATAAAAAAGTTGGAGCGAATTTCATTTTGCACAGTTAATTTCTCATTTTATGGGGCGAAGGAAGTGTTTGGTGATTTTTCGTTTATGTCCAATTTTTCATGAAATCATTAAATTTATTGTCCAGAGCAAATTCAGCTATTTCAACTTTATTTTGATCATTACCGTTTGCCGTACGAATTAATTCTTGACGAAGAATAACCGAGAATTCTTACCATTCCCCTTCTCCTCCCGCCCCTCCATCCGCTCTTTTCCCCTTGTTGAATATGCCACTGATGCAAATACAGGGAAGTGTAAATGCATGCGGTAAATGGCTCCAATAAATGAGAAGAGAATACATTTTCCTCATCATTATGTGTTTTTGCATAATATGCAAAAACACATATTGTGACGACCCGGGTGCGTGTGTGTGTCTGTGTATCTGTCCGAGTATTTCAACTCAGTACCCGACCAGGCTCCGGCGCCAAAATTTTGCAAGTGGGTCCCACGGCCAAGTGCCACCCCAGGACCGCGGCACCAATCCTCAAGCACGTCTAGGCCCCGCGTGCGGGCGCCTCAAAGTTTTGGCGGGAAAATCGCTAACTTGGGAATCAGAAAATCTAGAAAGCTGGAATTTTGGGATTATGTTCCCCGTCCACATAGAATCAAAGATTTTAAATTCGCAAACCCAGGTGTCCGTGGTTCCCGCGTACGACCCCGTGAGGGTTCCTGGCGCGAAAGTTGCTAGCTCGGGAACCAGGAACGCTGGAAGACTGAAACTTTCAGGAAATGTTCCCAACTCATCGACAAGCTGAATTTATCAAATTCAACGCCCCATTATGCATGTTTGCCAAGTACGGCCCCGTGAAAGTTTTTGGCGGGAGAACGGCTAACTCCGGAACCAGGGAAGCTGGGAGACTGAAACATTCAGGAAATGCCCCCAAATCATCTACAATTTAAATTTGTCAAATTCACCCCCCCTCCCCCTCCCCCGTTATGCGTGGTCACCAATACGGCCCCGTGAAATTTTCTGGCTAGAATTTGAGTAAGTGGGGAACTGAGAAAGCTGGGATCTGGGATTTCAAAGGAATGTTCCCT